AAGTATAAGTTAAAACAAGAATATTTACATTTATTAAAGTATAAAATATAATAAATTGATTTACTAAAATTTTAAATAAAAAAAATCCAGTCTATTTTTTAATATAAATTATAAAAAATTATGTATCTCAATTTTTTAAATAATAGGAAAAAGACAGCCCTAATTTTATAATAATTTCGCGTAGAAAATTATTTCTTAATTTAAGTAGAAAATTCAACAGTATCACAAATGCATAAGTATAGTCTAGTGGTATATTCTAGATTTCGTAATTACAAGTTCTTCTGATCGAATCTCCTCTACGGTAACAAATAGATGCATTGCAACGCATACAGTGTGAACTACAGCTACAGTAGATTGACAGACGGATAATATCCCAGAGGATATACGAATTCTGTAAAAGTGCCTTGTAGACAATGATTGAGTTGAAAATAACATTTTGTTTTTCAAAAATTTTAGGTCTTCTTAGTCTTATGGAATGCTTTTTGTTACTTCAAAAAACGCGTTTAAACGCATTTTAAAACTGCGTTTAAAGCCTAGCGTAAACATGCGAGCCAATATAAAAACGCGTTTTGACGCAAAATTTTATAAATTTTTTTTCATGGGTGATTGTATGCCATTATTGATCTTGAACTTTTTACTCACTTTTTAGATATGTTTTGGATCATTATCTTCTAAAAGTTTCCAGTTATAGTTATTATCACCAAACCATTTTTTGCTGATGGCAGAAGATCATTCTTGTAAATTTTACACATAAACTCTGAGTTTAATGTTTTTCTAAATAATACCAGTTTTCCGAATCCATGTTTGCTAAAACAGCCCCACACGTGAATTTTGACAGGATGCTTCACTGTTGATACATAATATTTTTCGCCACGTTTTTTCCATACACGTCTTATAACTTGTTTCATATGAAATGAACTTTCATCTGTAAATATAACTTGATTCCAGTCAACATCTTGATGTTGTATTGTCCATTCAAGTCTTTTCTTAATATGGTCAGCTGTTAGCAATGGCTTGGAAGTTGGTTTCATTAATTGCAGACCAGCCTCTTTAAATCTTCTTCTTAATGTTGTTTTGCTAATTTTTACACCTTTCTTTGATAATCTAACTGCAATTTGACGTGTAGATTCGGTTGGATGCTGAGCTATCATCGATTGAATTGTATCATCTTGTTTTTCTGTTGTAGACCGTTTACGACCAGATTTTTGTATAATTTCTATATCACCAGTTGTTTCGTATCTTTCCAGCCAATATCTTACAGTTGACTCACTAATTCGTAAATATTGTGAAATATTAACATTTGACATATGTGGACCATGTTCATGTCTTGATAAAAAGACGATTTCCCATCTTTTCTTTACAGAAATGTTCATTTTTTGATTAACTTATAAAATGAGCACAGAATGAGTATAAATGCTCTTATTTATACCGGATGATGAGCACGCCTAGTCCGTTCAGACAAAGTAAAAAAATAAAATAAAAGTCATTATTGAACAAGAGAAAAAGGTCGCGGCCACTTATGGCGATTACTGTATTATAATTTAATATTTAATCTAATTATATCTTTATGAATCTATCAAAATTTGAGTATTAAACCAAAACAAAATAGAATATACTTTGTTGAATAATAGTTCATAAATTCTTCAAATTTTATTATATGTAATATATATTTTATTTTTTCTTCTAGTTGATAGAAATATTGATCAAAATGAAGAGAAAGATGATGAAACAACTCGTTTACCAGTAACTTTACAAGATATTATTCGACAAAAAGCTAAAAAAAATAACAATGCTAGATCTTATTTACTTCAAATCTCTCGTTATCCACCACTGTGTGAATTTCTTGGTGATAAATCTCATACGTCGTTTAATCGTCGTCCGAGTGCAACTCAAGTTCGTCCACTAATTGCAAACCATTTAAGTCAACATTTAGCCAATGATGCCAAAATACGTATGCGTCTATGTGATGAATTGCGTGAGATACATCGATCATACTTGAGAACATTCATGAATGATCCACATACTTCTGGTACTAAATATATCTTTTCATAAACAGAGACGACTTACGATTAAGAAAAAATCCTATATTAAATTATGCAATCATGTTTCTTTTATTTTTTTGCCTAATATTCTTATTTTTTTGGTCTTTTGTACAAATGATCAATTAACTTATTCGTATAA